ATTGAATGGTTTATATTTCTTCTCGTATTCGGGTAAGACATTAATTCTACATGAAAAGTATTATACCAAATCGGATCTAAAATAAATAGTTACTGAAATATAGAAACAATAAATTAAGTTGCATTCAAATCGACTATTAATACGATATAAAATCACTGTGGCTATTTAAAAAAATACGATATAGTAAGACTGTAATACCGCACTTAAAAGTTGAAGGCAAACTTCGCATCTCGATAATAAAATAAAATCATGTAAAATTGATTACAATACTATATGTCCCCCTGCAAACAATGCAACTTCTATCTGAAGCATTTTTTCCTACAACGTATTTTATGAGTTATCTCATATCGTCATATTACGAGATTCACCTTGTATAGTGATCATTGAGAATATTACACTTGTTTTAAATATTTCCTATGTGTTAAATGAACACTTTCTTTGGATAAGAAACCGATGGCGAAACACAGTCATTCTACCAGCTTATTAACTTCGTCATGTCCGTCGCGAAAACCGTTCACAGTTAAACATTTATCGAGTGTAGTTTGAATTCCGTTTTAAAATATTTTCATAATCCTTATTTGGAATGTTCCGCACGTTGTTAACCATGTAAAGAGCGTAAGTGCTTATATATTATCATTAGCCATGCAATGTATCATCACGTTTGATTACTTCTACTCATTACTCTCTTTTAACATGTTCATTATAATAGTAATAATAAAAGTACTATACAATTGTTTGTTTCGGTGTAGTGTTAATTGTCAACGATTGTTTGAAATCGAGCACCAAGATGGAATGGACGCCATTTCCAGATGACATACCAATAATCGGAAAAAATGTGCTGGATGTTAAATAGTTAAATAGTGTTCCTGTATATCTTAAAAACGAATTTTTTGGAAAATATACAGATAAATGCATTCAACCTTCCAGATTAGTATCCTTTATACTCTAAATCCGCACTCAATTAAACATTTTTCGTCTGAAGGTGGAATTGTATTTTCGACTGTTCTCATCGTCTACATTACGAAAATTCTGCACGAAATTTTCCATATAAGAAGAGGAAACCACTGTGACAGTCATTGGCTACTGAGAAGCTTAGTACAGTAGAACCTGTAATAATGAATCGCAAACTACAGCTCCTCCTTCTGTTCGTTCCCATGATTTTTTTGTCAGGAATTTTCGTGACATCAACAGTTGGAGTAAGTTAAGTTGCATTTAGTATTATTGCATTTGTTAAATCCCGAACAAAATTCAGATTATCTTATATTATTTCGGCCAGCTGTATTGCGCCGCGGTAATGTCTAAGGACTGAAATATGTTATTAATTGGACGCATTCACAATCTGTGGTATATACAGGGTGTCTCAGGTTTTAATGTTCAAACTTTGTCAGTATATTCTATGGCACAAAGTAAGAAAATAATGTTATGTAAACATTGGCCATATAGAGCTGTATTAAGAAGTTATAACAAAAATTCAGAATAGGAATAGTAATCAACTAAAAAAAAAAATGAAAAATAAAAAAAATCTTCGATCGTTGTCAATCATGTATTGTCAACAACGGTTATTAATACATTTCGAAATGTATTAATAAACACAGCTTACATAAACACACGGCATGTATTAGGTTGCATGCACAATTTTAGTGAAAATAACAGACAATACCTTTGTCTAAATTCTCGATTGAAAGTTGATTCCTTTTGTTGGGCAAAATTAGTTTAAACGTATAAGATTACCTTTTTAATATTACACAATGTAACTGACACATGTTTCAAATTACTGCAATAGCATCTTGCAACATATTCTGGTCGGTAGTCCTTACAAAATATGGGAATTTCTTTATTTTACAAAAAATGCAGGAGAAACAAATATATTTTTTATATCTTTTAATGATGATTGATAATTTTCTGTGGATTTTTCATTTACATAAATTACCGCAATTTGGTTTTAATGTAATTATCATTTCATAAGGCCAAGCAGATAAGACTGGAATGGCCCAATTGTAGGAACTGTAATGTGATTTACATTATTAATGCTCAACGTTTTGGGAACACCTTTACTGTACGTGTTTTACGTTGTGTAACAAACATGCTATTTCCTGCCAACCAATTATCACTTCTGAATATATTTTTGACCTGCAATCGAAATTGTTTCCTTATACAAACTTTGTACTTGATCCAATAAGGAGAATTTAAACAATGCGATTTATAACATTCAGAGGTGCACAAATGCAGCTCGCTGATAGGCCGAATTACTAATTGCTATCAAATGCACTATGTTACAAAAGTTCAACCTAGTGCAGTAATGTCCCCTAATTGACGCCTAAATTGTGCACAAAAATGGACAATTTGGGAAGAGGAGATACGATTATTCAAGCCTTGCAGCTTGTTTTTATAATTGTTGACAATCGGTAACTATAGAAACTAACTGCAAGGCTCGAATCATCGTATCTCCTCTTCCCAAATTGTCCAGTTTTGTGCAAAATCTGAACATCAATTAGGGAGACTTTACTGTATTAATTCATATCCGCAATACACACGTTCCTATCTACAATTACAATTATAGATATCTAGTAATTTTTTTCTTTGAACACTCATATTGATTTTAGAAATAGGATTTATCTTATTATTATTCTTATTATTATTATTATTATTATTATATCAATTATGTTCTCATGCAATGAGATTATGGACGAGATCGATGTCAATAATTTTATCTTTTTTTAAATCTGATTATGTTATTTCTACGAAACGGGTAAGAACATGCAGATCAATTTGAACGGGGTGTAATCTGTACAACATATTGTATACCGTATTTCTGTCACTTTAGTGCGTGCAAAAACCGAAGGTTATATCGTTTAATTACTAGGACAATTCTGATGTTAACCACTTTCACTACGATATCATGTCAGATATACTTATCGGATGCTACGTACTGCTTTTACAGCGATATAAAATACTACTCCTTAATCATCAACATTTAAACATTAATGTAAAGATTGGGAAGAAATAAATAAAAGTTTTTGTTCACGCGTATAGGAAGTTTTTCATCATCATAGCTACGAAAGGGGTCGTAGTGTGAGGGAATAAATTATAATGCTACATATCTTACTTATTTTCAAACGGTCCGCTAGAATCAAAATACGTACCAGTGTGCGTAGAACTTTTCACTTTCACGTCGAAATCACATTTTAAAAAACAGAATATAAATTTTGTATTATGTTCCTAGTAGTGGAAACCTATAATGAATTTTTGCAAAAATCATCTTTATATGAATAGGTTAGAATCACACTGGCCTGTGATGAAATGACATTTTCAAAAATTCATATACTTATATGTTAAAATGTAATTTGCACATGCCAAAATGTTAAAAAAGCGGGTGAGATAAATCATAAAAATGCACATGTTTATTTAAGACATATATTTTTCAAACATCATATTTACAAATTGTAATAAACAACGACGCAAATTATATTGTACAATAAATATTATTAAATATATGAATAATTTATTATTTCCTTTCACTTCACAAATGGACAAAACTTTTCGGTAGAACTAATATAAATTAAATTAACTTTAAATTACAGGATTTTCTTATAAATGTTTCGGAGAATGCATAATTATTGAATTCAGTTGTTTCAATAGAGCAAGAACGTAGTAATCCATTCGCATTGTATGCTATTCTGAAACTTGCAGCGTAATTTCTTTTTTTATCTACGTTAATGGATTTAGAATTAAGTATATCCAAATGTTCTTAGCAGATCTTGTTGCGTGAAATCAAGATCCGTGCACGTTACATTCATGTAGCAGTCTGAACGTGCTATGCAATAGCTGTGTGGCAGTATGTAAATTATTATAATATATATGTGTGACACTTACTGTGCTCCTCCCTGATTACTGTGTCCTCACAATAATCTTATTTATATTTCAAAATAGGATTATTCAATTAAAAATATTGAATACTTGAAATTATATTTCATCTCTAATTTTTATAACCAAATTAAACTACCTAGAAAATGCGGGATCTTCAGTCTTAAATTCCTGAAACTGCTTTGAAGTGTACTTTCCTTGATCTTGTTAAGACACTTCGGAAACACGTTGCAAATAAGGATGGAAAAAAGGTAAGATGATGTTTTCCAAACTACAAAAATAAGAAATGATATTAATAAACCCGGTTAAAATACAGAAAACGCAATAATAAGTCGACTACTTAGAAATATATTTTATTTAATGTACTAAATGAGATTTACGTCTTGTTTGTATTACGGTGCAATGTCACTAGATTATGATTTCATGGCTTTTTCGATGCGCGCATTGATTACTGAGCCCTCTCATGGCAAACAGCGGGTTACTCCTAACCTTATAATCTTAAATCGTAAAATGTGTGTATGCTACACATGGTTGTCTTTCCTATTTTGAAGAATATAGGAAGTATTGAAATATATATTTTATAATAATTTATGCTAAATAATTTAAAACGAAATATTTCATGATTTTACATTTCTGTTATAGAATTATCTATATAGAACTAATCACGGTAATTGAAGCACAGTAATTGGATTAGTCTACAGATATTGACACACAGTAACTAGAAAAGGCTCAGTAACTGAGACACAGTAATTAACTTTCATCTTTTCAAGGGGACAGTAACTTCCACAAAAATTGTTATGCATCTTTTGTTAAATATTTCGTATTGTTTACGTGATTTAGTTATGAAAAAGTTTGTACTGACATAAAATGTATCAACATATAATCAAAATGTTTTAAGAAGTGAAACGTAGGTTAAAGAACCGACTTAATTCGGTGAAAACTTTGGCCGTCACTTTAATCGGCATTGATACACTTACCCTACTTCCAATGATAACACATCTACCACTTTGTCACGTCCTACACGAAAACCGCAGTTAAACATTTATCGTGTGAAGTTGGAATTGCATTTTCGAGTATTATAATCTATATTTTCGAAACATTCTGCACGAAGTTTTCCATATAAAAAGAGGAAACCACTGTGACAGTCATTAGCTACTGACAAACTTAGTACAACAGAACTTGCAACCATGAACCACAAACTTCAACTCCTCTTTTTGTTCATTTCCATGATTTTGATGTCAGGAATTTTCGTGACACCAGCAGTTGGAGTAAGTTAATCTGCATTTAATATTATTGCATTTGTTACGTTCCGAATAAAATCCATCTTATCTCATATTTTTTCGGTCGGCTGTAATGCAACTCGAAGAATATCCTAACGGTAATCGAAACCTCACGGCTGTTCCGACAACGCACACAGTTCTCACGAACGTTATAATTAATATGTAGAAGTTTATGCACTTACGATTTGTAATGAATATGCAGACTATGTATATGCGGGAATATACAAACTATATGCAAGATATATATAAAGTATATACATCATAGATTCGATAAATATGCATCTGCATAGATACTAAAAAATTCGTAAAATCATGTTTGATCAACTTATCTAATTTTGTATACAATGTGACGTACATAAAAATGAATTTAACGTTACACAAATTCAAGTATTAACGTTTTTACATTAAAATCAAAATATAATATTATTCATGTCATACAACTAAAATATTTCTATACCTTTTCAACTATATTAACTGTATTAACTTTTTATTTTATTAACTCTATGCATTTTTAAAGTATTAAATCTCCAAAGTAACTGCTTTTTAATTTAATACAAAACATAATACTTCTATGTATTAGAATGCATGCAGAATTTTTGGTGAGAATAATTGGCAGTGCTTTAAAAATTTTAGAATTTCTGGATATTCCAACATATGTAACAGGAAAATATATATTTTTATATCTTTTAATGATGAAATATATTTCAGTTTCTTCATTTGTTAAGATGATTTTACTGGATTATTCATTTGCATAAACTCTCGCAGTCTAGCTATAACTCTAGAACAATCATTTTTAACTCATTGCGTTGGAAACTTGTTCGTAGTGCCAAGAAAATTTTCTTCAAAAACCTAGATTATGTATCAAAGACTTGTATTATGATAAATGTGAACAATACATCTCGATCTTTTGTCATCTACGTGTTCATCATGTGTGGATCACATCCCATGCGGATCTTTGCCTAATTTTATCTAAAATATCCGTAGCAAAAAATCAAATAGTAAAGATCCTTCAAAAGCAAATACTTATCGATAGACGAGTATAGTAATAATAAAAGTAGAGAATAGCATTCGCGGAGAATCATGAAGAAGAGACATAATTGTATCAAATAGAAGCAACATAAGTCTAATTTTTGTATGTTTTTAGAAGTATTAGTTTATTAGATAATACGTATAAGAACTTGCGAAAAAATTTCAACTGGCTTGACTAACAAAAAGAAAATAATTTTTGAAACCTTATATCTGTGTCAATGAGGAAAATTTTAATAATTCGATTTATAAATTTTAAAGGAGAGAGAGAGAGAGAGAGAGAGAGATCACAAACGCCGCTCTCTAAGAAGTCGAATTAGTACTATTCACTGCATTCAAAACCACTATATTAAAAATAAAGTTCAACCTAGTGTTATGATACCTACGATATATGCTCATCTGCGATTATAAATATAAATAACTAATATTTTCTTTTTTTGTGCACTCATGTTGATTCTTAAAGTTGTATTTATTTATAATAAATAGAAGATGTAGGGTTCATTCTTCAAGAGTATTTTTAATTGTCCCTCAGAGCTTGTAAACAAAATAGACCGTTCTGGAAGAATCAATGCAATCATTCAAGCCTTGCGGCTCGTTTTTATGGTTACCAATTGTCAACGACTATAAGAAAAGGTGCAAGGCTAGAATAACCATATCTTCACTTTTCAAATTGTCCATTTTTGTTTGCACCCTGAAAATTAATTAGGGTAAATTTACTGTACTTCCAATATAACCACATCTTCCGTTTTAGACCTGAAATAATTCTGATGTCGTCTATTTTTTACCAGCTACCAGCAGCGTGTAAATTGCCGAAACACTTGTTATGCAAACATCCAGTAGTAGCTAAGATTTGCAAGGTAAGGTCGCATTTGATTATGTCTACTTATTACACCTTTTTAGTATCTTCGTTGTAAGCATAATGATAAAAACTCTATACATTTGTTTGTTTAGAGAAAGTGTTAATCGGCACTTTTAACGGGAACACCAATATGGAATGGGCACCGGTTCCAGATGTCAATACAATAATAAAAAAAAATGTTTTGGATATTAAATGATTTGAAGTAGTGTTCCTGTATACCAAATGCACATTTCATGTGGACAATAAACAGATAAATACAATCATTCTACGAGATTATTATTCTTCACCACATCGCACACGAAAACCGCATACTGTTAAGCAGTTATGTTGTAAAGTTCGAATTGCATTTAGAAATTAACTTATAATCTACACGTGATATATTCTGCAGGAAATTTTCCATATAAAAGGAGTATATGTAATATATACTTACCATATAAGGAGTATATAGTTCCTCTTTCTGTTCGTTTCTATGATTCTCTTGTTAAGACTTTTCGTGACACTAGTAGTCGAAGTAAGTTGATATGCATTCTATATTATATTGTGCCCCGTTAACGTGAAAACATTGAGGTACAAACATACGCTTGTTGCAGGAAGTATGTTAATAGTATTTCAAATGGAATAATATTTTTAAAATAAGTTGAAATGACATGAATCTTTTTTAGACGTTACTCCGGCTAGTTTTCTACGAGTAAACGAGTAATACAACATTTCTTTATATATATATAGATTGCAATTGATTGGAATGGTAATAATGCTGAGAGATAATGTTTTTCTTTAACTTTTTTATCCGAACCTATAAAGAGAATTTAAAAATTGAATTTTGATGATCTCGGTAACTCGTACGCATGATGAAAATTGTATCAAAATCGGTTAACGTAGAATGAAGCTAGAGATATATAAAGATTTTAAACATCTTCAGATTCCTGACAGTTATTGGCTTATACCATTAAAAATCGGGACAAAACTGTGATTCTCGTGAACTTTAATTATTTACAGCTTCTATGCATATAAGTTACTAAGATCTACTAAGCGGATTTTTTAAATCTCCATTATAGACTCGTATAAGAAATTTTTAAAACCTGAGTTTTAAATTTATTTATTATCCCGACGAATTGCAATGTAAAGGAAATTTTTGTTTATTATTTCTTCAGTAAAGTAGTCGGACTAACAACTAAAGAAAATGCAAGTCGTTTGGACAAATTTCAATTTGTTTACTAATTAGATTATTTACTTTATTTATTAATGTAACGGTTAAAATACACTTTACGTTACAGAATATAATATATACAGTGATTCAATTGGAAAATACCTAGTGTAAATTGCGTCGGAAGATTTGAGAGCCGCAGACAAAATTTATGTTGTTGCGATAGGTATTTACATATCAAATAATTCTGCTAAAAAAATCGTTATATTACACCCTTATTGTTATCCCTGCTCTCCTACAAAATTTTGTAGTCACTATTCAAGTGTAAGAACAGAAAGAAGACTATACGAATAATGACTTATTTGCGACACTTTAGAGATGTCTCAGTTTGAATGTTTATTTCTGCGGTCTATTGATGCTATTTTTATCTTTCTTATTTTAATATGGCCGCTTATTTTGTAGATATTACTCAGTTCGTTTTAAGCCATTTGGCCCGCAAGGATTAGAATCGGTCCCACCGTGCGGCAAAGTAGAGAATTAGTTTTTTAAGAGAATAATTTTAATCTTGCAGTATGTTCCTGGAACTGGAATACTGTAACAAATTCTTTCAGTACGGATCTTATCTGAGTAGGTTAGAATCATAGTGGGCTAAGTGGCATTTTTGAAAATTTGATTTATGTCTTGACATGTAATCTGCATATGCCATGATGATAAAAAGCAAGTGATCTAAATTCTAGAGTCATTATTAGGTATATAGAAAAGTTCTGTCAAATAATGTGATTCTAAGTTTCAATACGTGTATTTCTCAAAAATGATATTTACAAATTGCCATCACGCTGGGGAGAGGTCGTAAGTAACGACGAAATTTATATTCTACAAGAAATATTATTAAATGCATGAAGAATTTATTATTTCCTTTCACTTGTCTAACATAAATTAACATAACTTTAAAACATCCGATTAATAAATTTACCAGTAAACAATACACTCATTAGTAAATAAAAAGGCCCTCTGTTTCTCGTAATGAGGAGTACGTGATTTGCGTCAGCATGATATTAACCCATTCATACACTTGCTATGTATAGATGACTGAGAAATGGAAGAGCTCAGTTACAGGGCTTTCTCATAAATGTTTTGAATAATGTAGAATAAATTTTGATGAATTCAATTGTTTTAATATGGCGACAACGTAACATAAAGTGTTATTCTGATATTTGCAGCATAATTGATGTAAATGTTAATATGGAACAAAAATAATTTCTCTTTTCATCTACGTCAAGATAGCTGCTTGGCAGTATGTAAAACAGTATAGGGTAAGTATACCACTTATTGTGCTCCTCCCTGATTACTGTGTCCTCACGATAATTTTATTTATATTTAAAAACATCATTATTCAATTAAAAATATCGAATTTTTAAAATAAAATTTCATCTATATTTTTCGTAACCGAATCAAAAAGTTCAATTTCTAAAAACCTTGAAAATACGAAATCGAAAGTTTTAGATTTCTGAAATTGCTTTGATACATGTTTAACTTGATGCTGTTAAAACACTTAACAAACACGAAGAAAATAAAGATGAAAGAAAGTTGCTTTCCGAACAAAAAAACAAGAACCACAATAATATAATCAGCTGCTTGGATATAGTTTTTCATTTAAAGTAATTAAGTAACTGAAACAGATCTTGTTTGTATTATGGTTCAATGTAACTGAATTAAGATTTTATGTCTATCTCGATGCGTGCCTTGATTACAAAACTCTATCAATGAAAATGCAATCCGTGCCTCTATTTACGAATTATTAAGAACAAATGCAGACCAATGCGAGGCCAGCTCGGCTAGTGCAAAGCGACCAAGCCAACGAGCGGTCGAAGCACATTTCAATTTCGGTCGAAGTTCATTGGCTTGGCCGCCCTACATCAACTGACAGCGATTCTCATTGGTCAGCGCTCTTGTTTAATAACTCGTAAACAAAGCCGTGAATAACATTTTCCGTGAGGTAAAAGTTAATTCAAATGATCTTAAGAAATCCCTAATTTCCCGGAAGTAACATTTTTTGGACACTCTGTAGGATGGAGTCCAGTTCAATATGACACCCCAATAATAAAAAAATATGGTTTTGGATTGTAAATAATTAAATAATTGAGAAGATATTAATTGTTGCAAAAAATAACATGTACAGGGTACATTTCTAATACTGCACTTTGAATTGTTACTGTATGTCAAACGCACATTTTCTTTGAGCGAAAAACAGATAAATGGAATTGTTCTTCCAGATTACTACCCTTTGTCACGATGTACACGAAAACTGCACACAGTTGAACATTTATCGTGTAAAGTTGGAATTGCATTTTCAAATACTTTCATAATCTATATTTGGAACGTTCTGCACGATGCTTTCCATATAAAAGGAGTAAATGAGTGGGACAGTCATTGACTACTGACAAGCTTAAGGCAAGGGAACCTACAACCATGAAGCAAAAATTACAGTTCTTCTTTCTTTTCGTCTGCATGATTTTGTTGTCAGGAGTTTTCGTTACACCAGCAGTAGGAGTAAGTTAATTTTCATTTTATATTATCGAACTTGTTTTGTTTCGAAAAAAATTTATTTCAAATTCTATTATACTATTGCCTTTAAATCTGCTCCGTTAATGTATAACTATTGAGCATTTTCAATTTTAAAAATGCTTTTTTTAGTTTTAATTGTATACTTCGATATAACAGTCAAAAATTTATGTTGTTGCTATAGGAGTTCACATATCTAATGACAATTTGTAATGACTATGAAGGGTGCGGTCTATTTCTTGTCTTATGTGATGACTGTCGATTAGCGACGGGCAAGAAATTATAAAGCTAATTTCATATAGAATCACGTGAATGATTATCAGACTGTTTATAATTTTACGAGCAAAAATTAAACTGATGGGGCTTCATCTTTTCCTGACTTTTTCTACACAAAAAATCGCAGTGTCTATGTTATGGAGATGTAAGCGATTGTAGAATTTGTACTTAAGGATGTGAGGATTTTTACTTAATAGTGTTCTTGGAAAAAATGTGTTGTTTCTGAGATGTTTATATTTATGCAATTGATTTTGGACCAAAATTCCGAAATTGCTTAACTATCAGAATTGTTATGTAGTTTATATTATGAATGATCAGCGTTGTGCAGACTCCTTTACTAAAAATAACGTATGCTGCACAATTGATATGCTCTTTCTCAAACATTGTTAATCGCTTCTGGATGTATTCATGACCTGTTATCTTGACCTGTTCTTATAAAGCAAACAGCTTATGAATTATCGAGTATTGCAATTAAAGAAAAAGAGAAATGCATTCGGAGAACTAGATTACTAGTACATGAACGTGTAAAAGAACTTTCGGAAAAATTTCAACTGTTCAGAATATCGAAAAGAAAGTAATAGTGTAGCAGTTTTAACCGCCTTCGCGACAAGTGCTATACGTAAATCATTATACTTCCAATAAAAGCACGTTTTGCGTTTTGGATTTGAAATAATTCGCGCGTTGTCTATTTCTTAGGAGTCACCAGGATGCACTATAATGCCCAGAAAAGTGACTTGCTCAAACCCCGTACTACGTAAAGTATGCAAGGTATCGTCACGTTTGATTACTTCTACTTAATACTTCTTTTTAACATTTTTAACATTATAACAGTAATAATAAAAATACCATGCATTTGTTTGTTCTGGTGAAGTGTTAATTGTCAACGATTCTTTGAAATGGAACATCAATGTGGAATGGCCGCCACTTCTAGATGACACACCAATAATCAGAAAAAGTGTACCGGTTATTAAATAATTAAATAGTGTTCCTGTATATATTAAATACGCATATTTAGACATTATACAGATAAACACATCCGTTCCAGATTATTACCATTCGTCACGTTCTACACAAAAACTGCACACAGTTAAATATTTATCGCGTAAAGTTGGAATTGCATTTTCAAACGTTCTCATAATCTACATTAAAAATATTTTACACGAAGATTTCCTTATAAGAAGAGGAAATCACTGTGATAGTTATTGGCTACTGACAAGCTTAGTACAGTATAACCTGCAATAATGAACCACAACCTACAGCTCCTCTTTCTGTTTCTTTCCATGATTTTGTTGTCAGGAATTTTTGTGACACCTGCAGTTGGAGTAAGTTAGTATGCATTTAGTATTGTTGCATTTGTTAAATTCCGAACAAAATTCACATTATTTCATATTATTTCAGCCAGCTGTATTGCGCCACGGTAATGTGTAAGGACTGAGATATATTATTAATCGGACGCATTCACGATCCTTGATATGTATAATATCATTTCCGTTTCTGCAACTCGGATGATGTCCTAACGGTAACCGAAACCTCACGCATGATCCGACAACGCACATAGTTCTCACGAACTATATAATTGGACTGACGAGGTTTGGTACATTCAGGATATGTAGCGAATATGCAAACACCGTACATGCAAGAATATGCTAACTATATGCAAAATGTATATCATCTATATAGAACGTAGATGATATTTATGTGATATTTATGTGACGTACGTAAGAATGTGTTTAACATTGCACAAACTTGTCTAAAAAATTATTCAAATATTAACTTTTTTGCATTAGAAACAAAATATAATTTTATTCGTATTATACAAATAACATATTTATATACCTTTGCAGCTATTTTAAACTGTATTAACATTTTTATGTATTAACTCTATACATTTTTAAAGAATTAATCTCTCAAAGTTCATTAACTTTATCAACTTTCTCAGTATCTGATTATTAATATTACACTGTACATAATACTTCTATGCATTAGGTTGCATGCATGATTTTAGTGAGAATAACATACAATACCTTTCTCCAAATTCTCAATTGAAAATTGATGCCTTTTGTCAGACGTATAAGATTACCTTTTTAATATTACACAATGTAATTGACACATGTTTCAAATTACAGCAAAAGCATCTTGCAACAATTTCTGATTGGCAGTCCTTACAAAATAGGCGAACTTCTTTATATTTTAAAATGTGCAAGAGAAAAAAATATAATTTTTATGTCTTTTAATGACGAAACATATTTCTGTTAATATTTTATTTGTTTTGTTGATTTCTCTGGATTATTCATGTGCATAAATTCCCGCAGTTTGGTTCCAATTGTAGAACAACTTTTTAATAAATTTGTATCCCACTGCGAACGAAGCTTTTTCATAGGGCAAAGCACATTGGACTGGAATGGCTCAATTATAAGAATTGTTATGTCATTCACATTATTAATGCTCAGCGTTTTGGAAACACCTTTACTATACGCGTTTTACGTTATTCAACTAACATGCTCAATATGAGTTTCATTTTTGTATAATTTTAGGACCAGTTTACTAGATAATACGCAGAATATGAACTTGCGGAAAAATTTCAATTGATTTGATTAACATTAATAGAAATAAGAAAATTACCGAATCAAAATACCTTTAAAATGCGGAATCAACAGTTTTAGTTTCCTGAAATTGCTTTGATATGTTTTTGCCTTGATCTTGTTAAAACACTTAAGAAACATGTAGCAAATAAAGATGAAGAAATGGTAAAATTATGGTTTCCAAACAAAAAAAATAAGCTTTTATATTCATATAACTCGACCAAATCACAGGAAACGCAATAATATAATTGATTTCTTAGATATATTTTTTTAAATAAAGTAATTCAGTAACTGAAACAGTTACACAAAGACACAAGTCTTTGACGTAAGTATTGGTACATATATTTTATAATAATTTATGCTAAATAGTTTAAAACCGAATACTTCATATTTTTACGTTCTTGTTACACTTATTTACAAAGAACTCATCACGGTAATTGAAGCCCAGTAATTGACACACAGTAATTAGAAAAGGCTCAGTAATTGAGACACAGTAATTACATTTTCATCTTTTCAAGGGCACAGTAACTCGCTCAAAAAATTGTCATGTATATTTTGTTAAATATTTCGTATTGCTTGTATATTTTACTTATGAAATTTATTATTAAAATGTTTGAAATAGTGAGACATAGGTTAAAAAACCGATCTAATTCGTTAAAAACTCTGGACATTACTTTAATCGACACAGTAATAACAGTAATTGGTAACTTCCAATAAAAACACATCTTCCGTTCTGGACCTGAAATGACTAACGCATCGTCGATCTCTTAGATATCAAATGCGCTGTTATACCGAGAGTATAGTAGCTTGCAGAAACCCGACACTTTTCTTATTATTTTCTTTTAGCATTTTCATAATAATAATAATAATAATAATAATAATAATAATAATAATAATAATAATAATAATAAAAACACTCTACACATTTGTTTGTTTCGGTCAAGTGTTAATTAGCAACGATTCTTCGAATATAAACACCAGTGTGGCCAGATGACTCACCAATTATCGAAAAAAATGTATTGGATACTAAATAATTAAATAGTGTTTCTGTGTATACAAACGCACATTTTCCTTGGACAATAAATAGATAAGTGCAATCATTCTACCTGTTTATTATTCTTCGTCACGTTCTACACCAAAACCGCACACGGTTAAACATTTATCGCGTGAAGTTGGAATTACATTTTCGCGAATGTTCCCATAATCTATATTAGGATTATTCTGCACGAAGTTTTTCCTATAAAAAGAGGAAACCACTGTGACAGTCATTGGCTACTGACAAGCTTAGTACAACAGAACTTGCAACCATGAACCACAAACTACAACTCCTCTTTTTGTTCATTTCCATGATTCTGTTGTCAGGAATTTCCGTGACACAAGCAATTGGAGTAAGTTAATCTGCATTTAATATCATTACATTTGTTACGTTCGGAACAAAATTTATTACATTTCATATTTTTTCGGTCATCTGTATTGTGCCACGTTAATGTGGTGACGATTTTTGGTCTATATAATATCATTTTTATCTCTGCAAATCGGTCGATGTTCTAACAGTGACCTAAACCTCACGCCTGATCCGACAACGCACATAGTTCTCACGATCATCATGGTTGGTCTGGGCACGTTTATGCACTTACGATATGTAGTGAATATGCAGACTATGTATAAGCAAGAATATACAAACTATATGCAAGATATATGCAAACTATATGCAGCACATATTTGGCAAATATGCATTTGCATAGATACTGAAAAATTCGTGAAATTGTGTTTGATGAACGTATTTAATTTTGTATACAATGTGACGTACATTAAAAATGCACTTAACATTACACAAATTAGACGAAAAATTAATTATGTTATACATATTGTGCGTATTATTCAAATATTAACATGTTCGCTTTATGAACAAAATCGAATATTATTCGTGTTAAACAAATAAAATATTTCTATATCTTTGCAACTATAGTAACTCTATTAACTTTTTGAGGTGTTAACATTATGATGAGAAAAGAATATAAAATATATTTC